CAGATTCCTTTAAAAAAGAATTACTTCCATTCCAACATTTTGAAAGTGAAACTTCCAAGTTGACGTACAGCCAGACCACAAGTCTTACAAGCGGACACCAAGTGTGCGGCGACTCTCGTATCGATCGGCACCTGCGCTCTGATCAACAGGCTGTGACGCAGTTGTCACGGTGGTACATACATACTAAGCATGGTCGACTACGTTACTATGTAGAACGGGTAGAAACGTGCTCACCAAGCCACCAGCACTACCGCGTAACTATATCTCGTTTTGTTTAACATCAGATTCCATCAAAATGCTATCAACATTCAACACTTTGTCGAGTACTCAAGGCATTTGATCCTACCCGATGTATTGAAAGTACAACATACTGTATACTTATTATAATACAGTCATACGCTGGTGACACCCAAAAAATGGCTGTTTCTAAGATGCCTTTCTTTTTGTAGCAAAAACTTGATCTTTTTATAAAGAAACCAAAGTTAAACAAAGCTTAAGTTTTACATAGACGATATTTTTAACGTGGTAATAGCTTTTGCGTCTCGCAATTACACGCTGTTTTTTTGTAATTTAAACAATAATAAGAAAAAGCTTTTCAGGTCTTAACAACCGTCTTTATAATCTGCTGTGATACACGTAAGCTATTTTAGCTTTCATTATCTATCCTTCTTTTGTTACCTCTTTTGCGTCTTAGCTCTTTACGGTCTTCATCCATCTTATTATTACATTGTTTTGCTTCTTGTACGTACAATAGATAAATTAATTATGTATGTAGTATCTATCTCGTAAATAAATACTTACATAATGAAAACAAATGTTAGAACGTCATTACTGTAAATAAAAATATACTTACACGGAAAAGATAAATGGGTAAAGGCCAAGAAACTGTTAGAGTATTTACACTATGAATCTGCAGCGATATGTTACGGAATCAAATCATTTCACTGATTATTCCGAAACCTTGATTGACCTCATATATAGCTCCACGAAATTTTTAATGTTTCAGTTAAATGCGTGCCTGACTTAGCAAACATCCTTTTATAAACTGTATGCTTAATATTAAAAGGCTCAAACAGATTCCGCAATGGATAACCTATAGACCTTTATAAAATATGAATTTAAGCGATTTACATGCTGATATTGGTTCTATATTCTGGAAACGACTATAGTGATTTATTTATTTGACAAATATGCACCTGATAAGTCGTCATATATAAAAGAACAGAGTCATCCCTGGTTTACACCAAAAATTAAAGATATTGAAGCTCTGCGAGATAAAGCACACGCTCAAAGTCGTGAAACATCTTTGGAGTGTGACAAAATGTATTATAAGGAGCTGAAGGATACTGTGAGGAGTGCCTTGTTTACAGAAACTTATAAACATTTAAAGAAAATTTTAAAGATAGGCACCAGTTCATATAAATGATCCTGAGAATATTTACAGATATTTCTAAAATATACCTAGTAATGACATTGTTAGTTCTACTATGGTGTTATATTTTTCGCAAAATTGATTTAGATCTGTTTGAACCGATGAAACGGTGGTAGGAAAAGTTATTACCAATATAATTTCCAATGCTCGAGATCGGATATGGTATTATTAACTACCATTTACTCTCGAAGTTATCACATAGATCTTTAGCTGGAACTTTCCCCGATGCTTGGAAAGAAGCCATTGGGAAGCCGCTTCCTAAAGTAAAGAACCCCACAGAGCTGAAAGATTTATGCATATCAATCAGTTTATAAGAAGCAACTTTAAGCTCATATTTCCCACCAAGATTACTTTTGATTTATAAGTTTACTATCAAACGATGGTATATACTATTAACGATTACATTGTGATAATCTTTATTAAAATATTCAAATTTTATATGTATGTCTATTGTGACACATGAGTAAGCACTGTATGTTATATCATTGTTTATCATAGTTACGTAAGGGTCATTATCGTCATATATTTCTACATCGTCAGCCTACGACACGCGCCTGAAAGTAGCGCGTATCTGCCTGACTAATGCACTCAAGTCAACAGGCAAAATTGTACTTTAAACTGATCTACTCACACTGGTTTGTTGTTTGATAGTCAGTTCCGTATGTAATATACTTTTCAAATATGCTCTTTATTTCTTAATGGAGAAGGTTTAATAAATTGAAGCAAATTTATTGGTTTGCGTTTGCAGTCAAATGACATTCGACGGGCACGTGCTGCAGGGATACGTAATCATTGAATCAATCAAGAGTGCCATTCAAATTATAGTTTAATGAAGTTTGGTTGATGATAATAAATCACATGCACTATGTTTTTACATGCTGAGAAGTGGATGTACTGTGTAAATGTACAACGTTTGTATGAAGCATTTTTGTTTTTGAACCAGTATCGATGCAAATTGGTATTTGAGTAGTTTAAGACTCAAGGAAGGCAATAGGCTATGTTTTATTCCAAAAACCAGCATTTAAAAGGATGAAATGTGACTGAAAGCTTTTACGAGGAATCAAAATGTTACCATAGCAATATTTTGATACCTCATTGTTTATTATTTGATTTGTCATTGTAATAAATCTATCTAATAATATTTATAAAGATTTTCTTATATTGTAATAAAAATTGGTATTTGAGTACATAATTGATAACAAAAATAACATTTTGAACAAATATTTTTTAAAATATTCAAATAGAAGTCATTTTATCATTATATACGAAAGAAAGCATAAACTATATATTTTGTTGTATACTAGATGGCGTTAAGCATAGTTCTAAATGGATATTAGTCGATTAATTACATGTGTAGCTGTTGCTGTATTTTAAATAAGTAAATATATGTAGCTGTTTGTTGTGTCCTCGAAGTTGAACATCAAAGTAATTGTAGTCTAAATACTTATATTAATAAATGTATTTTAAACCGTGATTCTTGACAGTTAACCAGTTCCCTGGGCTTTGTATAGCCGCATTGTAGAAGGACGTTGTGCTGCTTTCTCAGCTGATCGACTTTTAGCCGTGCAAATGAATGGCGATATTTTATAATAGGGCTAGCCGCCTACTGGGCGGTGTTAGCTACGGTATATATTATTCATTTTATATTAACCTCAATGCTCTTGATATTGTTCGTGCTGCTCTATTTTGTTCGAAAAAAAAAAAACGGCTGGGAGTTTAAAAGTTGACCAAACAGTAACAGTTGTTACCAAATAGTTGTTAAACAGTGTTTTAAGAACTATTTTATTGGCGGATATACAAATAAGTTTTCCATTAACTAATAAAGTCTTATTACCATCTATTATATGACATAATGAGCGACAAAGAGACTCGTCAATACTAATATTATATAGCGAAAATAGGTCTGTGTATGTCTGTTGAGCTCTCACGCCTAACCCATTAAAAATTGTTGACTTCAGATAGGACATAGGTTGCTTTTTATCGTGAAAAAAGGTTGAAATAGGGATTTAATGTTTGTGTGAAAGTTCATCATAGTCAAAGATAAAATCATGAAATTTTATATTTAGCTATGAATAATATACTGCGTCTTTTTAAAAGTCCCTCGGGTCCGCAGTGCTATTCTGTAATAAAATCATCTTTAAACTAGTTGAGTCATGGAGGTTCGATTAAATAAACTCTATTTCAAAAGGTATAAAGGTTTTATAAAAAGTTCAACTGTGATTTTAATATTGCTGAGTTTAAGAAACACTCTGCTATAGATTGTCACTACAGCGAGTGTACGAAATTTGACGTCTTTACACGCGGTAGTTGGGATGCTGCCAAATACTAGTTTGATGATAAATACGTAGGCAACCAACAAACTGTAATGTTGTAATTTATTAGTACTCGTTCGAGCCTAGTATATAATTATCTATGTGTTTTATCTGTCGTATAATGCACAGAAAATTTAAAAATAGTGTTTCTGACTTTGTTTTTAGATACTACGGTTGGACAAGCTATTATAATGCTGTATTTGTTATTCTTCCTTGATTGTTGTTTGTGTATATAAAATGCATTATAGAAATCAAAGATATTGATTACGTTCGTGTAGTAAATGGAGCTTATGAATTTCTGGTGTCGTTATGTAATATGATTGTACGTCCGTTGTGGATAGTTTTCTGTAATTTGCTCTAGAGTTTATTTGTCAGTCTGTAATGCGGAATGATTCATTTTTGATGACGACAATTTTGTACGTTTAATAAAAAGACATTATTTATACAGTACTTTCGGCTGATACGTCACCATTTGTTTAAGTTTTTTTCTATAATTTAGATCCTTGGTTATTCTCCTTAATTTATTAACGGGCATGAAATTAAAATAGTTTTCTTTTCCTTGTTCTGATAGTGGTGAACTCGAAGTCAATGTTCTGTTGATAATCATGTTGACCCCGTGTTTATAAATGCCATTGACACCTCAACAACAACTGTTCAAATCAATGCAACGTTCAGGTGTTGGCCAATTGTTATCTCATTGCGATTGCTTAAAAATTCCTTTGTTGAATATGATATCATTTTACATCAATTAAATGTTCATTTCCTTTTATTGTACTCCGTTTTCTTATTTATCTGACTTTACTACAAGTGTTACTTGGAGTTTACCGCGCCATCTTTGTTAAGTCTTGAGTGCCCATATATTTCATTATTAAACTATTAAATCTTCGTACATTACTAAGCTTCTAATGATGTAAATAATAACGCTCTCGTTGGTAATTAGATTAGGTTAATTGAATCAAATATTTGATAACCTAGTTTTTTTTATTTAACCATCTCGTATGAATTTACTCTTATTCAAGGTCAAGCATAATCCTAAGAATAAAGATTCGAGATTCTATAGAAATCTATGAATTTTTCTGAAATTATTTTTAGTGATGATCCCAGAGAATTTTAGAGATATCTTCTACTTGTTATAGACGCTATCCCTGAAATTTCTAACGCTAATTAAATAAATAAGGGGTTAATAAGCCTAAACATTTGTCAAGTCACTGTTCATATGTTCGAAAGTAAACGTGTTGATTTCTCGGTTGTTCCAGTGAGAGCAGCATGTTCGTGTCGCGCCGTCGATGGATTTTGAAGACCTGCGGCACCACCACGCCGCTGCGATGCGTGCGCGCCGTGTTGCAGTTGGCGCGTGAGGTGGCAGGTCACGAACGTGTGCACAATGTATTCTACTCACGTCGCGAGTTCGCCCGACCTCACGCACAACTCAAGCCGCATGATAATTTTGACTCTGAGGTAAACGTATTATTAATCAAGCACATCGCGATGTAGTTATTTTACTTTAAACTAGATTCTTAAATCTCTTGACAACGAGAAAGCCTTCAATACCCTGTACAGTTTCCTCACGGTTCCGTTTTGTCATGGTGTTAACTCAAATAGGTCTTATACTATATTATATTACTATACAGCCCTGATCAAAGGTGCCAAATTTTTTAGGGAATACCCCATTATAAGTTGGTGTCCCTGAGGGGAGAATTCTAGGCCCTACCTTTTTACATCTTTATTGTTTTTTTTATTATTTATCGAAGTTCTCGTAATTCCATTGTACAAAAAATACATTTCAAATTACTATTACAAGGCTATCAATTACAAAGTTCATAAAAGTGTAAATTCTCTGTAATTCCTTATCTTGCAGATAATAATGTTTATGTTTATGATGACTTAACTTGATAACTCTCTATGTGAGTTGGTATGTTGACCCTTTAGAATGGTGATTTCCCTCTAGGAATTGTTTTTACATATTGGGTATTTTGCTCGCCATATTATTAAAAAAAAACGAAAATTAATATGAATTCCCTAGTTCCCTATATTTTGCAATTAGGTATTTTAGTTTGTGAATCAACCTCCTAAGTGGTTTTGTGAATTAAAATATGTTTACAATAAACGTCATTCATTATGTTTACACGTTTGTTCTGGATGAATCTTGGTGTGTTTCATGACTCGCGACTGATATTATGAACAATATTATCGCTAAAGCATACAGGGCATTAGGCTTTATCAAACGTGTATCTAGTAATTTCAAACAAACTAAGCCTTTAAAAATCCTATATTGGACGTATGCAAATAAAGACATTATTATTATTATTATATTATTATGTACGCAGTCATCTCGAATATCCATCGCAGGTTTGGAATCCTAGGATACTCAACTTACATCTCATCTCCAGATTGGAAAATATTCAGAATAAATTTTTACGTTATCTATGTCCGAATGTCCGAGCCATTTTCCTACTCTGATTACTTGCTTCACTGTAAGAAACATTATCTTTTACCGCAAGAGTAAAAATGTTCAATTGTTTGATCTTTGCTTCATGCTTGTGATTACACCAATGTCGTCGATTGTCCTCGGCTATTAGGTTCGATTTCGAGGATAGAATGCGCTTATTTATTTTCCTAAAATAAATAAATAAAAATGACTTCATAATCCTCTTACTATAATATGTTTTTTTTCCGAGCCATTGACCGACTATCGTAACCGGAATTCTTCATCCATGGGGTAAGGTGGGCACAGTGTTACAAAAAAATAAAAACGATCTGGCGACAAAAATATTGATAATACTAAAACTATAACAATCTCTTTTTATTTAGAATTATTAAAACAAGTCGATTGTAACACTGTGCCCTGTATCTCGGGTACTTTGATACAGGGCAAGTTCTACCTACACACAAAACAAACTAGAAATTTAGTTGGGGCCTATTGTTGCAGTGTAACACAGATGGGCAAGTCGAACAAAAAATTCCAAACGAGTAATAGATTGTTTTTACTACGCAACGATAATGTGAAGCCGAAAAAACAGTAAATATATCGCCTAAATGTTATATAACTGGAAAAAAAAACTTCAATGTAATTTTTTCTACGTTTTATCACCTGAATTCGTTTTTAATTAAATAACATTAACGTGTGGTATAAATTAAGGTAATAAACTTACTCAAGATGGCCATCGAGGAGTGTCAAAACTGTATATAAACATCATAAAGAGTAATTATAGGAATGGAGATATGTGCATTGTAACATTGTGCCCCGTGTTACACCGAGCCCCACCTTACCCTGTTTACTTGCGATGATTCCAGTTATACATTTTTATCCGAAACTTCCAGACGAAACCAACACAATCACCCTTTGAATAGCATCTCTTGTACAAGTAATATTTATTAGACACGTGGGACATCTAGAAGAATTGGTTACTTTAATTTGAGGAAAATGGGTGTTATTACTTTTAGCATTTCAACACTAATATTATAAAGAATTAAAAAAATCGTTTATTTGAATGCTTGGAATTCCTGGACCGGTTTAAAAAATTCATAAAAAAATAAATTCAAAAAGGTCACATAGGCTATATTATACGCGGTTGAAGTCGCAGAATAATAGCCAGTGTATGTGTATATATTAATGTTATTAATAAAAATTAATTAGGTATAATAACCTATAAGTATACCAATTTGAATATTGAGGATATTTTTTATAATTGATTTGCAATTTACAACGCTCGTTTAATTATTTGTTAATGAATTATTGGTTTTATTATATTTGCCTATAATCTATTCTAGTATCGGTTATATTAGTTAGTTACATATTACTTGATTTTTTTATAATAAAACATATTTTTAGTTGATTGTACTTACTTTCAAATCAATTGAATTGATTGAAATTGAATTGATAAATATGGTACACAACCTCCATGAAAAACGTAGTATTAAAATAAACTTTGTATTTATAATTTTTATAATCATATCTATACTATTTTTAATAAGACATTTGTTCTTCAGTATTTCCTACAATATAAACATGTATGTATATAGCTAAAGCTTTCTTGTACCACCCATAGGTAGGTACGTATATTACGATAGCAAGTATTTTAATAAAAAGATAACACTGTTCCGCGTATCGCTAATACCGAAATAGCTTTGTTTGTTATTCTAACTTACAATGACTAAAGCCAATTACATTGAGCCATTGACTTTTTATAAGGCATTATACTGTGTTAGTTAGATAAGGAAGTTGCTATATATTTTTGCTACCTTATACAGTGCTATATTTTAAACGTTCGAGAACTAATTGTTCATTTCACGATTTCCACGAAGTTCAACATGTTTTTTTTTCCATATGTAAAGAAAACACTCAAACTGAATTACCACAAATAATTTATTTAAAGAACAATGTAACTGTGTATTTCGTAGTAGTAACTACTTATAAATGAGTCATTCAGTTAAGTTTACTTGTAACTAGGTTACTACTAAACATCAAAGCAAATTTTAACCTAATTATCAGATTAAGACTTGAAGTAAAAAGCTATAATGAAAGACAGTTTTGACTAACTAAATGTTTTGTTGACTGTACGTACATACGGACAGCTGAAAGTCAGTTAATATTTTTATTCTATATTAACGTGACTGGGAATCAAACTCGGGACCGCAGATTTGGCGACACTTTAAAACCGCTGGGCTAATAACATTTTTCCTTGAGTCTTGAATATCAGTTTTTCTTGTAAAAAATAAATAAATCGATCTAATTTTATGGTGCAGCAACACTAATGAACCGTATAAATAACACTTGATTTTAATATAATTTAACCTTGATGATTTTGTTCTGCTTCAGGTGGAATTATTGGACTCATTCTTTGGTGACGGGCGTGCATACATTATGGGTCCCGAGAAGGACTGTTGGTACCTCTACACACTGCTGCCGTTGGAAGGTTAATATATTTATTACTCTCTTTACTCTGTCATCAAATCCTTGTAATAAAAGAAATACTCTCCTCGCAAAGCAAGTTTTGTTGCACCTTTAACGCATTCATTTTACTATGACATTATATAAATTGTGCTATGATTTGTCTACTAATATACCTTTTAAAGAAAGTTTTTTTTTGTTTGATGATTTTTTATTGTATTTAACAGGCTCCGAAACTACTGGACAGATTTAAAAATTCAAACTCATCATCAGTCCTTTCACGTCCCAACTGCAGGGGTCAGGGTTAAGTAGGATGGCCTGATATGTATTGGAGGGTATTAACGACTGCAAATGCAGAAGATCGCACGTCAGATCTCACAGCGCATCATACTCGTATTGCATAAACTATAATGTCACAGTCACTGTGTCACGTTTAGTTAGAAATATGATGGTAGGATCACACTGTAACTAGGTAAAACTAGGGTATGATCAAATTGGATCAAGCTTCGGTTGAAAGCCGAATAATTGTTTTGAACAGGCACAGTGGATGCGCTTGAGAAGGAGCAGCGCGAGGTGTCAGAGCGGTGGGGCGGGGAGCCGGACCAGACTATAGAGATCCTCATGTCCGGCCTCGACCCCGACGTCATGGACATTTTCACCCGCGCCGCCTCCGCCTCCGCCGCTGACGCCACCAAGGTATATTGCATTATTATGTACCCACCTTGCACAATGATAGGGTGGATGCACCTGTAGCCACCAACTGAGTAACATTCCTTACTTGCTATGTTATTTTACTTGCTTGTTTATTAAATATATATATGTCGCATCATCATTACGAAGATCTTTTGATTTAGTTTCTTTTATTTTAATTGCTAGTTACTCGATTACTTAATTACTCGATTGTAAAGAGAGCGTGATCATCGATACTTTTAATTTTGTTAGAATGGTGACACTGACTTTGACAGTTCGTTTATAAAAACCAAGTTGCCGCCATTTTGGCACACATTCTGTTTCCGATCGCCGAGGAGTAAAGACATCCGATGACATCACGCTCATCTCGTTATATTTTCGTATGAAAAGTGATAAATGGAACAAAACCACGTTGGTATACCACGCCTGCAGTGTTATTTTAAAGATAGTCCTCCGATATGGACGATCTATTTGGGCTTCGTAATAGCCCCTTCGGACTACCCGCCGTTATATATTATAATATATCAACTCGCAATATATTTAAGGAGACCAGGTTGTTGATGGCATGTAATAAATGTTAGTTATGATCGCATGGTTGGCAGAAGTGGGAAAAGTAGACGTAAAAAATAACGTTAACTGCAAAAAAAAACATTGATATTTAGGTTTGAAGATTGAAATTGTGTGTTATTGCTTCCTGGGGTGGTATCGGCGCACCCATCCTACCTTAGTCTAGATAACTCTTTAGTTAATCCATCTATTGACCCTGAAATATTTCCCCCCATGAGCAATGGTTATTTGTACATGGTTATTTGTAAAACACCAGCAATCTCATAGGACATAAGAGCTAACATTATAAATGTAAACGGGTGTTCATTTGACGCAAAGTTCTCCTTACTTTTGACACTAATTATGGAATGAATAATATTTTAAAGTGTAAAATTAAATACTTGTTTGTTTTGTTTCAGGCGTCAGGCATAGACAAAATCATTCCAGGGATGGTCATAGACGATTATCTGTTTGATCCTTGCGGCTACTCTATGAACGGAGTTGCTAAAGATGTAAGTATATGTTATATTAATATATATCCATAAACATGTCTCATTTTCTACAACAATTATTGATAGATAAATATTGTATATGCTTAAATATTAAGTAAGATTTTATAACAACTACTAGCTTGAAGCGTAATTTCTATTAAGTTCAGAAATTTTGACATAGTCTGAAATACTATATTCACCCTCCCAAGGCCTTGCCAAAGAAATTTAGTCCATATCACTTATTAGAATTCTTTTTACGCTACCGAAGGGAGATGAGGACACACCATCAGTAAGTCATAATTTTACATAAAGAAACCACAGGGCTTCGTGTGGTAATTGATTTTTCATTCAGAAACATTTTAGCTGTTTCAATGCGATTATGTTATAGCTTTTATTTATATAGCAAGGGTTTTTTACTTGAGACTATAGATTTTTTTCAAAAATTAAAATTTATTAAATAATTTAATTGTTACAAAAAGCTGCTCTTGCTGCGGCTGAGCTATTACAGTATGTACTACAGTACGTACTACATACGTACGTGTACTACAGTATGTAAACGCATTCTTATGTACATAAGAATGCGTTTGGTCAATATCAAATCTGTGATTCGACTGATTTTATCATGAATATAGAAGTGTGAATATCTTCTGTATTATTAATAATGTAATATTATTTTTTGGCTGGCGACTTAAAAAAATTTTATTCAAACTTTATTTCCATCCTCCTTGGTGAAATCGTTCTTATTTAATGTTTTGTCTATATCAAAATGATAATATATTTATGCTTTTATTTATTTAATTATTATGCCTTCAAATAATCTTGGTTCGTGTAGTTTCACGCTAAAATGTATCATTAAAGTAGTTCTATCTATTTCTTTGATTTGGGACTGAAAATGACTGTGCATTGTCTGTTTTCTTGTAAAGTTTCGATACCTTTATTTTAAAGGCCATAGCTTCTTAATGCGGTGCAAATTGCAAACGCTCATTGGTTGAAGTAACTCTGCACTTAGTTGTGTTACACTGTTACGAATCGAGGTATTTATTGCATTAAGTGGTTATATGAAGAATTTAAATTGAATTGGTGGCCTCTGGCCCCATATTTGTAACTTATTCATATTCTGTCCAAATTCATAGAAAGAGATGCGAGTTATGCTTTTATAACGGAAAACTTAGATAGCTCTTTCATTGACTTACTCATGAACTTCATAGTTAATAGTACGTTTTAAAATTATCAAGTGCGAATAGAATTCGTATCGAGCATAAATATCAAAGGGGAATGCCCATTTTATTAGGTCACACTGATCCACTGTGTTATGCCAAAATCAAAATCTTGTTTCGTTAAAATTGAAAAAACGGAAATAACCGTCACCCGGTACCATTTTCAACTAAACAAGAAAAATGTTGACTAATATAATAATAATATTCTTTATTGCATAAAAGTTTGGAGACATTACAAAGCAAGCAATATTATGGACAGTATACAAATGGCGGCCTTATGGTTATAGAATTAATATGATTGATCATTATCTCAATAAAACTGTCTTTAATCCCGCGCAGGGATTACATTACACTAAAGAAAAGTAAAAAGGCAAATTTATATCTTAAAGCGATTATAGTTTTAGAGTATTATCCTTCTTGTTGTATGTACAGCGTTTATATTCCCTGTTATGATAAGAATTACATTTGCACTCGATGAGTTTATCGAATCCGTTATTTTTTTTTATTGAAATAAAATTGTATCAAATAGGCTATTTCGAATACCGCTTTTACGATATTTGGCTAGTAGGTAGTATAAAAGTAGTAGGAAGGGATGGGTAATCGCTTTAATAGTTGTATTAGATGCTTTAGAAACTTTCTATCTTTCAGTAAGGCTTAAATAAAACGCTATCTTCAGTTTATAACGAAATCTAAGCAAAATATGGACATACCAAAGTATTCTATGTTCTTTTCATGACTTAAACGTGTCTGCATTATTTGAGAGCGTATAAAGTAAATCATATCAGTGATATTAAAAGTCTTTATTATGTAGGACCTCATGTGCACACAGCATTACGTAAGGTAACCACAACATGTCAAATATTCGCAATTGATTTTCAACTCTACCTCCATGCTTTAAGGTTCAAAATCAAGAAATTTTTAAGAGTTATATAACCCGTTCACGTCGTACAATGTGCTGTTGATTGTACGTGTGTAAAATGAATTATGATCTAAAAATAGAAAATTACATCATATTTCCGAGTGACGTAATAGGGTATTCTAATCTCTTTCGAATAATACTTGTAACTGTTTATTTTAATAAAAAAAACATAAAACAAATAATTCGGAAAAATTAACACGTTTAATTGCCTTAAAATGAAATAAAACTTAAACTTTTTAATACCCGCGAAAACAATGTCCGTCATATTCATGATGCCATTGTGGTTAGTTCACAAAACAAATGCATAGAGTAGAAGATTAAAAGATGAAAGACAAAAAGAAGAGATAAAAAAAACAAGAACAATGCCATCTAACGATCGATTACGTTATAAAATGATATAAATGAGCTTAGAACAGCGCTATCTAGGAATGTGATTTATAATTAATAGGCATGTGTAATCTGTCAGCAGTCGCCATAGTGAAGACAAAAATGGCGGGTTGTGTTTCAAGTCACGTGACAGTCAGTTCTACAACTTTTTTAGTTTAAATTTTCATTAGTTTAAAACGACATTACCCATACAAATTTGACACCCATTTAACCTTAAAGGCGTCATAAAACCTTAATGGATTATTAAAAAGCTAAAAACTGCATTTATTTTGAATCAATTTCAAATCAAATCCAAATTTAATTCTACGTGAAATAGTTATAAAGAATGAGTATATTTTTAAACAAGAATAGACTTTATTTGCTGTTCATACGTAATTTCTAGAAACTGGGAAAATAGCAGACTCACAAATAATGTAACATAAATAATAATACAAACGAATGCAAACGCTGCCAGTATATGGTTTTATTCTGGGGGCGTATTCTTAAAATCTATTTTCGATATATCCCAACTTCATTAGTTCTGTCCCACTCTTATTTTTAAAAAGTATGTAAATTAGAAGAGGTAGAATTCGACAACGATTATCGAATATCGATTTTCGAAATGTAAGCCTTGTATTTTTTTTAAGCTATTCCACATATACATGTTTTCATAACATTTATGTTGTGTATAGTAAAATTTGAAGTAACCGCTCGTGTGTGTCTGTGTGTATTTCAGGGTTGCTACATGACTATCCACATAACGCCGGAGCCGTCATGCTCGTACGTCTCGTTCGAGAGTAACGTGCCGGTGTCTAGCTACGACGAGGTGATATCGCGCGTGCTGCAAGCGTTCAGGCCGGACAAGTTCGTGCTCACCGTGTTTGCCACGCCGGTGAGATTGTGTTCCATCGCTTATTATTTTAAATTTTTAAATAAATAAATTAATCTACTATTGATTATTGTAACCGATTACCGATGTTATCAAAATTAAGTACATATACAGGGTTAGTTATAAAATGTCAATAATCTCCCAGGAATAGCCACCGTCACAAATAATAATCTTGCTTTCGTTAAAAAATAAGTCCTAATTGAATAAAATATAGATTTACAGGTGTAACGACAGGACGTTTAATTAAAAAAATTATAAATTATGCATGTATAATGATTGTCGTTTACCTTATAACAAAATTCATCCTATCTTTGGGCACCTGGAACTGACGATTTTTTTCTTTAAACCTCCTATCGATTTCTGATTAAACTAGTAGATCGAACTAGGAAGTTAAACGTAGGGTACCGTCCTGCAACAAATAACCCTGTATATAACGAGGCCGGGTGTTCATGCAGGACTCGCCGGCGGCGGAGGTGCCGCGGCAGCTGAAGAAGTTCTCCTCTCTGGGCGCGTTCGAGCAGAAGGAGTCGCAGTACTGCCAGTTCAGCGGGTACTCGCTGCACTACGCGCTCTACTGCAAGTTCCCGAGCTGAGGCGCGCCCCTCGCCGCCCTCGCGCGCCTGCTCGCCTGCGGCTGCCGGCAACCCCCCCCGCACCCCGCGCGCTAGCAACGCCGACTAAACAAACATTCACACGATCGCGGCATCATCATCCTAGACGTTCTCCGGCGTGGACATTTTAACAAAATTTTTTTTAGAGAATTTAAATTTTACTCGTCTCAGCATCCGTTCCGTTTTCTCACTTTAAAATGTTTCGATAGTTTAAGACGCTTTCTTTAGTTCCGTTCGTGAAGCCTTGAATGCGAACGTCAAATTCGTCCTGCAATATTTGGAGGGTAGATGTAATATAGACTTTTTTATCGACCGTAGGACGCCGAAGTCTATCGACGGGCGTTTCTTTCCCGTAGATGAGAATAGAGAACGAACCGTTTTCGGGTGTCAGTGATGTGATAGTGAACGTTCCTCTTTATCGAGTATTCCTTTTTATCGATAAGTTTAGTGTCGAATAGGCGTAAAGTTAAACTTTCGGATTTTTCTATCCGGGATCGCCGAATACCACCGGATCGTTCCCTTCGCGTGCAGGAGGCAGATCTTCATATGAAATTTGACTCGCGTCGGTCGTGAAGGGTGAACGCGCGGTACGCGGTACCTGACTCTTTTCTGATCAGATATTATTATATAGTTAATTTTCGGACGGCTGGAGGTCGTTCGGAAATCTTTTTTAATTCGGTCCGGTGCGCCGGGAGCGAATCGCGGCCCGGCCTCGGACGATAGGGCCCTCTCGCGTAGTGTAAAGCCCTGCCGAACGAGTAGTCTTAAACGATACCGGAATCGATTCTGATCGCGCTCGGTGATATTGTAAATTTTGTAGCATTTTTTTCCGTTCAGAAGAATTTGACGAGGATAGAGAACGATCGCGTCGAATCCGAGCATAGCACCTTCGGAATGCATTCCAATGCGAACGATAAAGTTTTAAATGTAAATAATTAACGAAACATTCCTTGTATAAGAAGTCGTCGCTATCCTTCTCCTGTCCTGCTGAAACAATAAGGATAGAGTATCGTGCGCGTAGGGATCGGTGCCGGCGTGTACATGTCCGGTCGCAGGGTGCGGTAGTCGTAGCAGTAGCGCCGCCGTAGCAGATCTCGTAGCGCATACAGATCTCGTAGCAGCCGTAGCGTGTAGTGGTGGCGGGGACCCACGGACCCACGCGTCATCTTCGGTCCTCAAGAGATTTTAAATCAAATAAACGATTTCATCTCAGTATTTTTGGTGTTTTATTTCATCCCTACCCTTCAATTAATGTAATTTTATTTAATATAAACATAGTTTTACATTAAACTTATGTGGTATAATCTTTTAATCAGTTGTGATTTTTTACTCAATTCTTATAGTAGCCACTTCATAAAATAATCAATTTCATAACATTATTTAAATAATGAACATTTGAAATAATTTATAATATTTTTTTTTTACCATTATATTTTACTTCTTTTGCTCCTATGGAATATACAATAAAGTTTAATTAATAACTCGTAAATGGCGCTCGCTGGCCGCCAGGCGGAACAATATCAGTCAAGATTCATTATTTTTTGAAGAACCGTAATAACGGATGTATCAAACCGAAAATTCGGTTTCCGCGGAATCACCCTGGTACGACGCACAGTTATAGCTGAGAACTTCTTGGACTTTAGTGTTATACCGCAGCTGGTTTTGTGTTAGTATCACATTTTGTGTAAAATATATACTCGAAGAGTTTTATAAAAGAAAACAATCCTGCTTTATGAACCCATTTCAACTTGATGCATTTTTTTGCGTATCGAAGTCAAAGTCAAAATAATCTTTATTCAAATAGACTTCTTAAAAGTACTTTTGAATCGTCCAACATTTTTTTCCCTACCGCTCGTTCAGGGCGTCTTTTGGCTGTTAAGAAGAACGAGCAAGAAACTCACCAGCTTTAATAGGAGTAATGACATTTACAAAAACCATGTCATTACCAGATCAATACATTATAAATAAAGAGAGAATAATATATATATATATATATATATATCGTAATAAACTATGTCGTTTTTATTGACGTATAATGTATAATAATAATAAAGCCAAGAAAAAAAATATTATTGTATTTATTTTCATATATGTATTACAATAATTAAATATTGCACTTAACACCTTCACCTAAACACAAGAGGTCAGTCATATAATTCTATTAGAACTCGTGGAAACTAGTATTAATATTCAACAATTATTTTATGTAAATATGTAAAAACTTCAAAAAATTCAAAATGCATAGAAATTGTTTCGGAGATCAAGAATTACAACAAGGAACATATGAGTAAACATTATAACCAAAACCTTTATAAAACTTTTGTGTGACACGTTCTGTGAATACAAAATGTTCACGTAGCAACGAAGAAGGATGCTCTATAGTGCGATAAATAACATGTTTTTTGGTTTGATTAGCATCTAATATTTTAGCCAAAATATTGATCGAAAACAGATTAAGTAATTTTAGAATTGATCGCTTATAGCAATAATTTCAATTAATAATAATCAGCTCTAGTAAAAGTTAAGATTGTATTGTCATTCAACAAACAGTTTACCCGATAAGAGACCAAAAACCACAGAGCACGTATTAGTGCTGTACCTATACTGTACGATATAGTCATAGGGATGTGCTCGATATTCTCACAATAAGAATGATAACAGTAAACAGTAAGAACGAGTCACGCACTATTACATAAAAAAAAGTGATAACTACAAATTTGTATTGATGAAACACCGAAAAACCTGATCAAGCGCAAATTTTATTTTATTTTTTACCCCCAAAAAGTAACCCCATATATTAATTTATATATTTACGTAGCGCGACCAAACCTGACCACAAATGGTACCAAATTTAAGTCCTAACAATCTAGTAGTTATGGTGAAAATCAACTATAACACATGGACGGACAAATCAATAACCGATACTAAGATCTCATCTTATTCCACGCCTTTCCAACTGAAGAATTCAAATGTTGTTTAATGTTTCGTGAGTACAAATTCAGCTTAACCCTAAGTAATATTTATAATGCCACATATCACAGAATATAGAACTAGTCTAACACTTTACAAGGCGGCACAAATCCACCGAATAGTTTGCCGAGATGTTCCGCGACGGCGAGTGCGAGGGCGTCATTTTCGGGAGCGGCCACCACCTGTATCCCCACCGGCAAACCATCGCTGTTCAATCCCAATGGGACCTAGATCCGTCACAAATAAATATATTATTGGCAGAACATTTTTATTGCTTACAGAGAAAAAGAAAATTTCAATATTATGAGAAAGTTAACTCTGGGGCCGTTCATTAATCACGTGATGTTTTTTTTAGCATTTTTGAGTCCTCCCCTCCCCCTTAGTGATACATGGTGAGGTTTAAGACTAACCCCCCACCTCTCGACCCGAACCACGTGCATTAGAGGAAAAAATAAATACACATGATATATTACTACACCCCCCCCTCCCCCCTTGTGATATTTAGGGTATGTTCCGATATACACTGCGACCACTGAACAGTATGACGTCAATTTAGTATACTGGAAGCCCGTTCCTTTATAGCTAGTTATACTGGTGACTTTTTAAAACGGAACGCAGTCCAGTATACTGTTAATCCTATTTTTTGGCGCCATTTTCAAATTTGTTAATGCAAGGTGAATATAAATATAAAGATTCCCTCATTTCAAAAGAAAATTGGAAAATTGTATAAAAAAAAATATTTATCAATTAAATCCATCTTATAAATAAACGTAAGTTTTTTTTTTTGTTTATTTAGAAACTTATCATTTTCTGATTCTGTTTCGACTGATCACGTGATCAAAAGCACTGCGAGCACCTTACCTCGAAATCTCCAGTGCTCACAGTACAAATATGGCGGCAATTCATGACGTCATGAATTTCCCTAGGGTACTGTAGCAGTGTACTGGCAGTCCATAACGGAACGGATTTTTCAGCAGTAAGACCACTGCGCAGTGCTCGCAATGTATATCGGAACATACCCTTAGTGATTTTTACGAACCGAAAGGGGGGGGGGGACCCTTTCGAGCCTCACGTGATTAATGGCCGGCCCTTATAATGAATATGGTGTTTTTATTTCTGTCCCAGCAATCAATATGATGAACTCAATTTAGCTTATCATATTAATATCGACACCATTTACGTAGTACAGGCTATAAGCGTACTTGACTATGCCTTCTCCGAGTTCGATTCCCGGTCAGGTCAATGTAAGTTACAAAATTGGGGATTTGTCTAATATTTACTATTGTTATTTATAAATATAGGACGGCAGACTGTGCTGAGAATAAACAATTAGATAATATGAAACCTGAGCGGCTGGAAATTTGATAGCGTTGAAAACGCCCCAGTAGGCGAAGTTGTAGGGGCGCAGCAACAGCGAGTAGTGGTAGGGGGCCACCGCGGGCGCGGACGGGAACAGTAGCACGCCCTCCGAGCCCAGCTTACTCTACCACACGAACAGACATTTATTTACCACTAGCTTTCCGCCCGCGGCTTCGCGCGCGTGGTCCCTAGTATCCCATTATCTAAGTCAGCTAATACCCTAGCTATACCAAATTTCATCAAAATCCGTTCAGTAATTTCGGCGTGAATGACGGACAATCATACAAACAAAGAAATTTTCACATGTATAATATTATAACGGGATTAAAAACTTTTATTTAACTTGCAATGTATCTAAGTATGTTTGTCTGGGTGGAATCTTTGAACTCAATTTTGAAGTAGATCGCTTCAATCGATTGGTAATTTGGTTGGTATGGTAATTTTGTATACACGCTAAGTTCGGATGTCAAAGTGACGTCAATCCAATATGGCGGACTATACAGGGTGGCGGAATAGTTATTTTTAAAACAATTCCACAATATGGTATCAAATGAAAGGGCTTGTTGAGAAAGGGCTTTCTACTTATCCACTTAATTACATATAAGTCAGTCATAAGTGTGCGGGCAACATTAGTGAATGTGTGTAGGGTTGGTCAGTTTGTTTATGATTATCGAGAAAGGAGATGTGTGTAATTGGTGAGAAAAATCTGAGCGGCTAATACGAGTATATTCAAATAAAACATTTACAAGTACTTCTTAAAACACATTAGAATACCCATTTATTAAACTTGACGACTAGCTACCGGTCGCGATCGATGTCTCGCAAAATTATTTCATACCTATAATTACTTCAAACCAGTCTGAAGGAGAGTGATTAGAAAAAAATGTAATGTAAAATATTAATTTACTATGACTTAATCAAGTACATAGTGAAATATATTTTTCTACTTGTGGTCAACAATGATGGTTAAACTATCACAAAACGTAATAATTCTATTACTCGTTTAAGTAATTTCATTGTGAAACAGTTTGTCGGTACAATAAAGTAAAAAAATAACTCACCGTCAAGTCGCCGGTGAGTGAGTCAATGAGTTGATCGGCCCACGTGGCGTCTGTGGGCGGCAACACTTGCTCGTCCAGCAGCTTCATGATGGCCGCCAGAGTGAACGGGGACACACCCACCATCTGAACGAATGATAGGCGGCGACGTCATATCGTAGTTTACGGTGAAGTGCCCACTAGCGAGCAACATTCGCAATTTCTTGCAAAATTAACGACTGTTTGTTTCCACATTAAGTGTGGGAAGGGGGTGCAATGAATCATCCATAGTGAGTCTTATGTCAAACAATTTAGAAACGATTTAAGTACCGTGCTGAGGGTGAGCGGGACAAACATCTAATGCATTGTGTTTTATATCTTGTGGATTATTAGAGATTAAGAGAGAAAAATAAATAACGAAATTGCACAAAAAATAAAATAACATAGAGATTCTGATTTTGAGTCTTAAAATTGCATGATTATCTTAAAATTAAAAGTCGTGATTTTTCGTGTTACGTGAAACATTGTGTGATGTCACTGTGGTGACGATTGTCCTAGAAAGATATTCCTATTAATTATAAATCAAATTCCTAGATGGCGCTGTTCTTAGCTCATTTATAACTTTTTCATTAGTAATCGATCGTTGGATGGCATTGTTCTTGTTTAATTGACATCTTTTACTCTTCTACTCTATGCATCTGTTTTGTGCACATATCACAGTGACATCATGAATACGAAGGACAGCGTTTTCGCCGCTGTAAAAAAAGGATTCGTATAAAAAAAAAGGATTTAATTTTAAGGCAAGAAAACGTGTTTATTTCGCCGAAAAGTTTGTTGGCCTTTTTAAATTGAAATAAACAGTTAGAAGTTTTATTTCAAACGGAGTAGATTACCCTATTTCGTCAAATTCATATTCGTGAAGATCAGTGTGCATCTCAACTGCATAAACTATCGAAAAACGTGCAACTTCGGAGTCGTATTGGCGTCTGAAAGGCTGACAAGATTTAGTTTTCGGTGTAAGAGTAGGTCCCACCTTCTTGGCCAGCTCGAGCAGCCCGTTGGCCTGCCCCTGGTTGTTGGCCAGCAGCGCGGGGAAGCTGTCCGCCTCGCGCGCCATCGCCCTCCGCCACAGCGCCGCCATGTGCTGCAGCGCCGCGTGCGAGTACGCAACGGGTGCGCCCCCCTCGGCCCCCTCGCTCAACCTCTCCACGACCCTGCCGTACATATGAGATTTTTTAATGGGATAGGGGGCAGACGAGCAGACGGATCACCTGATGGTAAGTGATTACCGTCGCCCATGGACACTTGCAACACCAGAGGGGCTACAAGCGCGCTGCCGGCCTTGGAGGGAAGGGTTGAGAGGTAGAGGGAAGGGAATAGGGAGGGGTTGGGCCTCCGGTACCCTCACTCACAGAGGAAACACAACGCAAGCGTTGCTTCACGTCGGTTTTCTGTGAGGCCGTGGTATCACTCCGGTCGAGCCGGCCCATTCATGCCGAAGCGTGACTCTCCCACGGTCAAGAGATATTAACACCGGCCTGTTCTGGCTCTGCTGGAATTAAAACGGATATGGTGGCCTGCACATGCAGCCGGGATCGACGGCACCACGTGCCTGCCGAAGCATGGAGGAGCTCAAGTTGATAAGTTTCTGATCACCCATCCTATGATCGAACCTTGTCAGTGTTGCTTAACAGCAGTATTGCAAACCGCGCTGCGCAATTTTGTACCGGTATTTGTGGGTAATTGTCCCAGTATAATAGCACATAATAAATAAACATTAGACGACAACGCATACGTAGCTCAGATTCCAATTTAAATAGTTAAAGCGCTTGTTTACTGGAAATCTGAAATAAAAGGTACCGCAACATCTAGACCCGAAATAATATGCCGAATAGTTCATTTTGGAACCGACTTGCAAGCGATTCGACCACGGAACTACTAGTTTCGATATCAACAGTGGCAACACTTTACAAACAGAATAACCGTCATGCAGAACTTTCTAACTTCCCACAAAAATAAATTATGCCATCTTCGCGATATGTAAAGGATACATTCATTACTTTTCTTATAAGTTATCAACATATGGATTCCAATTCAATAATACACACCCTATAAAGACGAAATGTCGAGTAAAAGTATAACATAGTTATTATTAAAAAAAAAAAAAACATAATCTCACCCACCTGTTCATCACCTGCCTGAGTTCTTTACTGATGGGGCTGACGCGAAGGTCCTTCGACGTCTCCGTGTAATAATACTTCACATTCTACACACACAGGAAATGGACACGATCAGAACATAGATAAATATTATTTCTTTGGGGAGTTTACAGTTTACATCTATAACACTTGTAAGCTAATTACATTGTTCAGATGTAGTTTTTCTTAATATGTGGGTTAACTATGAACGGCGGCGCGAATCAATACATGAGGCATTAAAATTATCGGTTTTCGATGTGGTGTTTCTAATTATTATTTTATGTTTAATTGTGAATAAATACTGTTTTCGCCATACATAATACGATAGCTGTATATTTGGAAGCCAGTGGACGACTGTGGACTTTATTCATTATCTCCTGAAGCTGTGTTAAGGCGAGTGTTTAACTTCATAGTAGGGACTTCTATGTCTGGAAACGATAATATATTGTTCAGATTCGAACTAAACTAAGTTTCTAAAGCTAAACTTTTTACACTGAGTCATCCGGGAATCGGACGAGAATCACTTTGAAACTGTTTTATTAGCCACTCTTTAAGTGTGAAGATAAAAGGTTTATTAGTTTTAAACAAGGACTCTGCAAACTGTCTTATGAGTGCTGACCTTGATGTCGACGGGCTTATTGAAGTCGAGGCCGGTGCTGACTATCTGCGTGAGTGGCGCGAGGTCGGAACAATGTTTGCTTACAAAACCTATGGATGCTATCGTGGGGTGTTCGCCAGTACGCAATGCTGATCCTGACCAAACGAATAGATTAATTCAATTAAGTACCCTGGGGCGGAATTTTAAAGGGTATTCTCATTGTACTAGAGAGAGCACAAAGAGCGGTGTTCAAAAGTGCTCTTTTCAAAAGTCGACTCTATCCGACCATATCGCTCTATCATGAGGCTGGGGTACTGAGCGCGAGGAAGTTGTTTTTATATCGAGTAGTAATTTTTGTTCACAAAGAAGTTGTAGCACCAAGCCTATATAAATCACTACTCAGAAAAAGAGTTTTTAAGATACCATGTCATGTGATCAAAACTACCTTTGCGCAGCGTTTCAGACCTTTTATTTTCTCACACATTTACAATAAGCTTGTTAACACCCTTCAAATTAAAAATAAATCAGTCAGGGAAATAAAAGTACTGTTGACCAGGAAGCTTCTGGAACTTGACTATGAGGATACTGAAAATCTGTTGAGGATCCAAAAGTAGCTATAACGATCTTACTTATAAAAGTAGAATATAAAAAATGCTGATTATAATGTAGTGTTTAAGTATATAATGTAATGAAGTAAGTAATGTCATATATATGTTGTTGTGCTATAACTGTGACTGGTACAGAGCCCGCCACAGGTCAGGCTTAGCCTAGTGCCAGAAAAATCTTGTAAATGAATATGAAATCTTTTTGGGAAATAAATTTATTTATTTATTTATTTAATTGTGGTAGCGCTTCAATAACGAATCAATATTGATACGGGCTGGGGTTCGGAATAAAAGTTAATGCCAAGTGAGATCACAATCCGATAATTTATTGACATGAGAAAATCACAAAATTATCCGATAGCGAATATACAGAACTTCACGTTAGAAAGAAGAGGTTAGAAACCCCTTGTGAGTGGCAAGAATATGTATGTACGTTCTTGGTATTGGCACAATTGTATTATTAAATAATTTTCTTGTTCCGTTGCTCTTACTAAATGAATACTTAAAATAATAATTGTATATAATATAATAACGTATACAGATCATTTATTATACAATTTGAACAAACCCTTAAGGCTGGTGTGACCCGCGGTAGGGTTGAGGCCGAACAGACCGCAGAAGAACGCTGGCATCCGGGTCGACCCACCGATGTCTGAGCCTGATAACACGCACGCAACAAATATTTCTGTAAAATTATCCAAAACTTTCCATTTCAATTTACATATAATAATATTAGCTGCGCCCGCGACTTGCCAGTGAAAAAAGAAACAGACAAAAAAAAATATTTTGGTATATGTACCGTGTATACACACATGCATTTAATGAAAAGCTATTTAACATTACAAACAGACACTCCAATTTTATTTTGCATTGAAATTTAAGTTCAAAACCGAATACAGAGATTAGACATTTCAGGGACTTCCCATCTCGAAGGACCAATTTGTTAAGTAGGTTTTTTGCGGAAGCATGTTTTTATGAATTACTCTGCTGGCGACGTTGATAAGGTTACGCACATAGTGATATAGGCGAGGCGAAGGCGGCGGCGAGCGCGGCCTCGCCCCCGCTGGAGCCGCCCGTGGTGCGGCCCGTGTGGTACGGGTTGTTGGTGCTACCAAACAACATGTTGCGACACTCCTGCCTACATCGCACACCAAGCAAACAATGTGTTGTTAAACAATTTCTACGATGATTGAACTACCCGAAACCCAACAGCACTGATGAACTTTTCAAAAGCTTTTATCAATATGGCAATGTGAATGTAAATGAATAAAATAACATGTCATCTAAATAATAAGAATGCTATTTTAACTAGTTAGATGCTACATCCTTTGCACACAAGTAACACCCGGTTTCTGAATTGAGAATAGAAAGTTAAGCACGTCTCAAACCATACTTAAATACCACTTAAACAGGTTTTTATAATCTTTATCTAAAATCAGAAACTGAAAAGAACGATATAAATAGATAAACCTTTCAAAACGACACAGTTTCTTATGTAGAAATTGAAGTATTAAAAGTCGTTTATTTTATTTAATTTTGTAGTTATTGAAGTAATAATAAATGGTCTAGTCTGGGTACCTTACCTGTTTTTTATTTAGTATAGTTATTATTTTAAGACATAGTTTAGATAAGTAGTTTTAATTTATTAGACCATTTATATAATTGAAGTTAATATTATAATATGATGAAATGGGTTTTATTATATTTAAAAGAACATGCGTAATATATCGTTTGAACTTATTTTGAAATTATATCTGCAGTACACAAGCTACCAATTCACATACCATTTGTTGATTTCCGGTACGTTGGTGACGGCGAGCGGTATAGCGCCGGCCTGTTTTAACAAACGCACGCACTCGGCGTCCTCGTGCGCGCGCACGTGTGCACGCGACTTTATACCCAGCGGGTGCAGCATACCAGCCACCGCATGACTCTCCTTTGCGGTGAACGGAACGCCTAATATAAAAATAACGAATTAACATGGTAGGATTTTTAAACAATGCATATTTATGTTAAATAAATAGATATTTATCTCCAAAATTCAACTCCAACCTTAAAGTTGCCCAGTTATCATAAACAGCCCCTCGAAAACTCGAAAGCAATTGCGACTGATCGACATTGCAGTTGTGCCGCTCCGCACTTTTGATTGGTTCACCAGCATACTCTGGCGCTAGTGTAACTAGGGAATGCAATCTCGTTCACGCGAGATCTCGTTCTCGCGAGATGTCGGCCTTTTTTAGCGAGATTGATCTCGGTCGATAAAAGGGCGAGATCTCGCGAGTTTAACAAGATTGCACCGAGCATAAAAACGATTTATACTCGAATATAACGAATCGAATAAGCCTTTAAATTCATTAGTATATTATGTTAATTTATTCTATAACTTAAAATAGAGCTCTGGGTACACATTCTTTTACTTTCATTGATAATAATCTCAGTTTAATAGTGAATTCAACTTAGGTAATGAATGAGTTAAATTTTAGTGTTTGTATTTTTGTTATAAAAACTGTATATTATAATTAAACTTTTCTTTGATATTAGCAGAGAAGCCTGGTTGTTTATTTCATTTCGTATTTGATTAGATACATTAAAGTTTAGTTTCTTAAAAGATTGAAAGAAAAAAAAACTTATCTAAATAGATTTATCGCCTGCCTAAGCCCCTGCTTACTTAATGTCATGAAAATTGTAGGAGCCGTTTCCGAGATTATAATACAGTAATTGCTCTTTTAAAGATTTTAGATAAAAAAATATAATTGCATCAAACAAAGTTAAATACATAAAACTCTATTTTGAAAATACCCTTGAAAATAAATGTACATTTCATAATACCTATATATTTCCTTATTTATTCAAATATTGAGATTTGAATAAATATTGAAGTAAAACTGTAAACACAAAGTGCCAATCTCGCGAGATCTCGATAATATATTAAAAATGCATTGAATTAAAAATTAAATAATAATAACACTGATTGACAAAAATGACCTTAATTTAAGGTAAATTAATTTGAATTTTATTATAATTAAAATTCAAATTAATATATTTTGTATCTACAATTAGCCTGTTAATAATCTGCATTTTTAAAAAGTTTCAGTCACCCTCAGTTTTCTTGCAACTGCAATACACTTTTTTTAAGTAAATATGGTTGAAAATTGAATTTAATCAAGAAAAACAACTAACATTTGACTTTTATTCAGGATTTTCGGGAATATTTAGCGTCAGGTACATCTCTTTTGAGTGTCCATCACATCAGTAATCAGCCAACATGTTCGGACTCCACTTGCCTTGGTACCGTTTTTCCATGTTGGATATATCCTGATGGAATCGCTCGCCGTGTTCATCACTAACGGCTCCCAAATTTTGAGGAAAAAAATCCAAATGAGAGTATAAGAAGTGTATCTTGAGCAACATACTGCATCCCATATTCTTGTAAGCTGATAAGAGGTTGTTGACCAACTCTTCATAGTTTTCGGACTTGTGGTTTCTAAGAAAATTACAAACAATATTTCGAAAACATGTCCATGCAGATTTTTCGATCGGATTAAGTTTTTGTTCAAATTCTTTATTTTGGTCATTGAGATCGTTTTGATTTACAAAATGAGGTGCCGTATTTGAAGTGCTGGGCTCAAAAGTCGGATCGGAATCAGAATTCTCAGATATATTTTCTTCATCAATCACGTCATCCGTGTTTACTGGAGGCTGAGGAACAGGATTGTAAATTCGGATAGTTCACGGTGTGTCTAGATTTGTGATTAATACCTTTGATAGAAGTTTGGCAGAAATAACAATCTGATACATGGTCTTTCTGTTCAGACCATATCATTGGAACTGTAAACGGCATATGACGAGATCCTTTAGCCCATGATGTTAATAAACTAACACATTGTGCACAACAAACACTAGGAGTCCAGGTTTTGTCCAAATTTCGCACCGGAAAGCCAAAATAATTAAAATAACAGTTTTTAACGAATGGTGACAAATTACGACGTTGACTTTTAATAGTAAGTTGACCGCAAATGTAACAAAAGTTATCAGGATGGTTTACACACACTCTGGGCATCTTATTACGAAGTACAGAAACTACAATAAAAAAAAAAACCGTTTTAATTTCAATAATTCAATATTAATTTATCGGAAACATACGTCGGTAAGCAAAATTCGCGTAATCAATTTAGTTTATGTTTAACGAAAACTGAGGGTGATTGAACAAAACTAAGTATGAGGTTTATATGCGGGTAGGTAGTAGTGTTTAAAAAACCGACTCGATTTTGTTTAACAAAAATACTGTTTACCAGTGTAATTAATATAATAATAAATAAAATTATGTTTCTTTACTATCAAATTGATTAGAAAGATCAAGCCCAATGGCAAAAATAAATGATTACACTAAATCAAGTTATGCACACACTAGACCAAAAACGAAATGAAGAAGAACAAAAGCCAACTGTCACCTCGACAACACCTTACCTGATACCTCTCTGTTGGGAATCCAATAATAGATTCTTAAAATGTATCTTAAATAATTGTGTCGGTTCACTTCAAAGATAGATAATAATAATAATAATAATATTCTTTATTGCACAAATATAGGACACATTACAAAGAAAGAAAAAAGATTAGACAGTACAAAAGGCGGCCTTATTGCTATGCAGCAATCTCTTCCAGGCAACCAATGGTAGCATAGAAAACATAGATAAACAGTAATGAATGATAACGGGGAGTAGGTGCAATAGCGACAGGAATTAAATAGATATACATAAAGAGAAAAATATATAATGTACACGAAAGAGAGAGAGTTAAAAGTTGGAGAGAAAGTGACATTTTACTTCTGCGACGAAAGATCGCAAAGTGCGAGCCTTCCTAATATTTTCTGGTAACGAGTTCCAAAGCCGAACAGCTTGAACAGAAAAAGAATAGGATAGGAAGTCAGAGGAGTGAGGAGGGATATCAAGTTTCAGGTTTGAGGCAGACCGCAGAATACACTGTGATCTGGATGAGGAGTTGCGAAAGGAAATATAATAGGATAGATGTTTAAATACATGTATTTTTGTAATGTATGTTGGCATGTATGTAAGTTAAACCAAAATTTTCCATGAAGTTAGTCACAGACTGCTTTGTTATGATTACACACTGTGTCTACCTGCACCTCATTGTGTACCCATAAATGTGCTGTTACACTGTCACTATTTTGTTTTTCTTCTCAATCTAGTGAAATCTCTATCGAACCGTTCTCTAGAATAAAGATGTCAACTGATTTCCTTTTCATACAGATATAATGTTTGGGAGTTCTAAGAAACAAAACCTGAAGTATCAAGTTAAATGTTCTAGAGGGAAATTTACATTTGAAAAGAACATTTCAAATCTTAATTAGATAAAGACAGATATATACTCACTCTGTTCCTTAAAAAGAAAAAAAAATTTAAATGATTCCTACTTTCTTTCCTTCCTTCATTTTTTATAAGATTTTGATTACTTATTGTGTTAGGGAAAAGATTTGTGTAACCTTAAATGTCATTTTTCTTTGCTGGCCATAAGACTCGCACTCATTGAAATTAAGTTGTTTTAATGAGTTGATAATACTAAATTGTCAGTAAAAATGTTGATTATTATGTATATTATAATTTTTTTTCAGCACATAAACTTTTCTATTTGTCTTAATTAATTTTTTGGTTAACTTTGGATAGATATAATTTTTGCAAGATTAAATGTCAGTCTGATGAATTTTTTTTTTCTACAATTCTACTTGCACTGTTTTTAGATTTCTAATTTTAAAACAAATGTTTCATAATTTGTAGATACATAAAACAATTGTAACACCTCAAGCATCTTATATTGTCTACCTAAAAATGGTTTTTCCTTGAAATATTCTTCAGGGAGTCCCTTGGCAATTTTTTCATCAATTACTCTTGCATCATTCAATGCCTCTGTGAATCTCTCATCAATTACAGCATTCAGTATTGGGTTCACCTAGAAAAAAATATATAGATAAGTATATACAAAGTAAAAATATTTTTATTCATATTTCAAGTAATAATGCAATTTGAATAAGTAGTTCAATTTTGATTCCCTCTTTTTTAGGCTTGAAGAACAGATAAAAGAATCTTCACAATTTTTAATAAATACTAACAACTATTATAAAATACTGATGTTCTTACAATATCAATAACTTTTTTGCAATATAATTAGAATGTTTTATATCAAAATCATCTTATATTTTACACCTAATAGTTATTGAAACAAACTTGCTTATTTAAAATGGTTCGGTTTTCAACAAAATTAGTAGATCTGCTCAGTGCAAATGCAGAATCACAGTAGTTGGAAGTTACTGTAGTTAACACGTGTTATAGTAATTTAAAAAAAGAACTTACCTGTTGGATTCTTTCAATACAAGCTTTCACTAATTCTTCAGAAGTCAATTCCTTGTTTCTGATTTTGGTTGCAAGAGTCACAGCACTCTGTGCTAACATGGAATGCCTCTTCTCTAAATTAGGAATAGGTTGTCTTTTCCCATCAAAAAAGAAGCCGAATATTACATCAATCAGCATGTCAAGATATGACCGGAACAGAAGAAATATATATTTCAGTAAGTTGGTAGCCATTCCACAGAATATTTTCGATGTTTTATTGTTTCGGTTCTGTAAAATTAATGTTTGATATTTGTTTATTTTAATTTAAAAGGATAGGTTGATAAGTTTTTAGACGGCTATAAACCTTTGAATATTTTCGAACAAAGTTCTATACAATAGTCGACCGGCTGAATTATTAATTAATTAACATAAATTAAAGTTTATTACGATCTATTTTTAATTTTAATATCAAATGTAATACGTGTCAAGTTGAAACTTTTGTACTACCTGTATGTTGTCTGTCGATGTGTTTGATTTGCACATTGCGGGTTTATTTTATTATTTTTGCTGGATGTTTTGCAAAAGAAACGAACTTTAATAAAAATTAAAAAAGTTTCACTATAAAGTTCAATGCAAGTTCAATGACCTGGAGGACAGACTAAAACTACTTAGATAGAGTAGCGATGGACGCTATTCGCGATAGACAGTTATTTAACTAGTGATTAGCGTGAACCGCTATCACTCGTGACTATCTATTTTCCTCTTAAATTCATAATTTAAGGTTGATATTTGGGCTACTCGCTTCTTACAATATCCGAGATCACAAACAATGCAACTTGTCATGTGTGAATGAAACAGGATGTCAGAATACGTGTGAATGAAATAGGTATATGTTTTTTTGATCACCTGATGGTAAGTGATTACCGTCGCCCATGGACATCTGCAACACCAGAGGGGCTACAAGTGCGCTGCCGGCCTTGGAGGGAAGGGTTGAGGGGTAGAGGGAAGAGAATAGGGAGGGTTTGGGCCTCCGGTACCCTCACTCACACGACGAAACACAACGCAAGCGTTGCTTCACATCGGTTTTCTGTGAGGCCGAGGTATCACTCCGGTCGAGCCGGCCCATTTATGCCGAAGCGTGGCTCTCCCACGTTCCGCGTAGTTCGGGTATGGGAGTGATTAACTAACAAAAAAATTTAGCTTTATCGCGTTTTCGTAAGAGCAAAATTCGCTTTGAATTTATAGTGTTAATGAAATAACTAGATAGTTTGATATCGGTGATTGGCGTTAGATAGCGGTTTCGTTACGTGATTTAAAAAATGGATTACGACCCATTGCTAACTCAGGGTATGTTCCGATATACACTGCGAGCACTGCGCAGTGTTCTTACTGCTGAAAAATCCGTTCCGTTATGGACTGCCAGTACACTGCTACAGTACCCTAGGGAAATTTATGACGTCATAAATTGCCGCCATATTTGTACTGTGAGCAATCTGACAATTTGAGAGTGACGTAAAGAAGGGGGAAGGCTACAAAGTTGTAAAAAAAAACGTCACCTTGACATTCTCGAGCGTGGCTATTTTTTTTTTATTTTGAAGGGAATCATTCAAGGATTACGAAAAATATATAATCTGACGATTGTCACAAGCCGAAGTAATAAAAATTCATCGATAAGATCTAATGCGTTTAAGCTACGTGATACCTATATTTCCTTCTCCGCATCACTATTTCTCTCTCTTTTTCTATCTATTACTCTCTCACTCCGTCCCCACTCTGGTTTCGGTTGCCATGACGCCATGACAGCTGATGACACAGACTCATTCGTGGCGTGATATTGTTTACATCGTATTTCCAACGTTTTTGCTTATTTTGTTATTTTAATGTAAATTTTGTGAATTAAACTTTTTACATATGTACTAAGAGAAGAAGAGGAAGATGATTCTAGCGATGAAGATGATAATTAATTAAAAATACTGTAAAAATCACAACAACCCGTTGAAAGCAATGCTCAGGACACCAGAGCAAAGCTGACCCGACATCACACCGAGGATATCCCAGACATCAGCCTGTACGAGATTAGAATGGCACTCAAACAGCTCAAGAACAACAAGGCACCGGGGGATGACGGAATCACTACTGAACTTTTGCGAGCGGGTGGAAAACCGGTACTCTTAGTCCTCCAGAAATTTTTCAATTCCGTCATTCTCGAGGGTACGACGCCAGAAGCGTGGCACAGAAGCGTGGTTGTGCTCTTCTTCAAAAAAGGTGACAAGACCTTGTTGAAGAATTATAGACCAATCCCGCTTCTGAGGCACGTTTATAAGCTGATTTCGAGGGTCATTACGAATCGTCTCGAACACCGGTTTAATGACTTCCAGCCTCCCGAACAAGCCGGTTTCCGAAAAGGCTTTAGCACCATAGACCACATACATACGCTGCGGCAGATTATACAGAAGACCGAGGAGTATAATCTGCCACTTTGCGTTTGTGGACTATGAGAAAGCCTTCGATTCAATCGAAACCTGGGCAGTACTGCAGCCCCTCCAGTGATGCCAAATCGACTACAGGTACGTCGAAGTGTTGAAGCGTTTGTATAGCAACGCTACAATGTCGATTCGCTACCAGGAAGAGAGCACGAAACCAATCCAATTGCGCAGAGGCGTGAAACAGGAAGATGTCATTTCTCCGAAACTGTTCACGAATGCATTGGAGGACGTCTTCAAGCTCTTGGAATGGGACGAATACGGCATCAACATCAATGGCGAATACATCACTCACCTTCGTTTCGCCGATGATATAGTCATCTTGGCAAGATCGATGGAGCATATCAGTACAATGCTCAGCGACCTGAGTATCGTTTCCAAACAGGTGGGTCTTAAAATGAACATGAACAAGACGAAAATCATGTCGAATGTCCATGTTGCACCCGTACCGGTGGTCATTGGAACTGATACTCTCGAAGTTGTCGATCACTACGTGTACCTTGGACAGACAATCCAGTTAGGTAGATCCAATTTCGACAAAGAGGTCGCTCGAAGAATCCAACTCGGCTGGGCAGCGTTCGGGAAGCTACGCGATATCTTCACGTCCCAATTACCACAGTGCCTAAAGACGAAGGTGTATGACCAGTGTGTGTTGCCAGTGATGACTTATGGCACTGAAACGTGGTCCTTAACTGCTGGCCTCTTAGAGAAGCTCAGAGTCGCTCAGCGAGGCATGGAGAGAGCTATGTTAGGGGTTTCTTTGCGCGATAGGATCCGAAACGTGGATATTCGCCAAAGAACTAGAGTGACCGACATAGCTCGCAAAGTTTGTAAGCTGAAGTGGCAGTGGGCAGGCCACATCGCTCGACGAACCGATAACCGATGGTGACGAAAGGTTCTCGAGTGGAGACCACGAACCGGAAGACGCAGCGTGGGTCGACCCCCGACTATTAGATGGACGGACGACATCGTCCGAGTCGCGGGCGGCCACTGGATGCAGCTGGCGCAATGTCGCCCGTCGTCCTCCCGGCCTATGTTCAGCAGTGGACGTCTTCCGGCTGATGATGATGATGACTGTAAAAATTAAATTTTCATATAATAATTTTTTTATAAATATAAGTATTTTACATAAAAAAAAACATACACTTTTTTATTTGCATGCTAACTCCAGTGATTTTCTATTTAATTAAGCTCAATGATTTGAAAAATTTAAAAAAAATTTTGAGTGTCAGTTTAAGTAAATCCCTTCAGATAATCGTCAGATTATGAGATATCACGTCTGGGGCATAAAGATGAACCATATATATCTTAATCTGACGCGCTTGAGTATTTCAAAATGGCGATTTTTTTTGCACATTCTAATAATGATCACGCGTTTGCGTCACATCCAAATCGTCAGATTATTATATGAGAGCTTTTTTTTAGGTTTACTTGACATCCCCTCAAAAAATCTGACGCGCTCGATTAAATTTTTTTTTTCAATTTCAACCCTTACGTATAACCGGGGTGGTTATACGTAAGGGTTGGAATCATGGAAAAGATCAGATTAACATACGACAGTTTTTAAAAATGCGTAGGACATGGATGATATTAATATCTGACGCGCTCTAGTATGTCCATACATCAGTTTTGTTTTTACATTTTTAAAAATCTTTAGCCGCTTTCCCCACCGATGAAAAGGTATATATTTTATATGATTTTTTTTTTGTTATCATCTAATCTTCGCAACCCAATAGGTCTCTATGACGCTCGAGTAAATCCCGATTTAGCATCGTGGGCTCCCCTACTATTAACTGTTGTCATTTAAGCTATCTCATAAACAAAGAACAATGGTCAAAATGGACTACGAAAAAAAAAGTTCTTGTACCAAGATGGAACTATCACCATAATGTAGTATAAGTTGAATGTAATTATTATATACCTACCTTTTTAAAATCTGGGAAAAGAAAGATAATCCTCTCTAAAATAAGTTTTCATTTTTTAGAACGCAGTTTAAACTAACTGTGGCAACGATTCCTTCGCGTACAAAGAAATTTGGCGACTCATTTCTTTGTCGTACTTCCAAAAAATGGAATTGTCTCCCGGCCCATGTATTCCCTCCTTCCTATGACATGGGGTCCTTCAAGCGGGGCGTGAAGAAGCACCTTGCAGGTCGGCAAGGTAAGGTTGGCTAGTGCAGTACCTACGTACTGTTTTCACTAGCTGTCCTCGCGTTTGGACTACGCCTCCGCTTACCATCAGGTGGAGCACAGTCATTTGCCCTCCATTTTATAAAAAAAAAATGTTATATTTGAACGCATCTTATTAATATGTCATTCCTAGAGAAGTACCTCTCTTTTCAAAGAACAAGATCGATTTTATTTCTGATTAATCGAATTTGATACAAATCTTATATTATTTACTAACAATATAAATCCGTAAAAATTAAAAACTAAGATTAGATTACTAATATAATTATATGTTACTTAGAGGAAAATAGTTTATTTATAATGAAATTAAAAACAAATGATTTTTCATAAGAATCGATATTACAGTATTCAATCGATTGCGACCTCCCTTATTTAGAAAAGTATGTGTAGACGTGTTTCTACGCAGACCGTTTTGTAACTTTGGAGGTGATTTTGTATTATCTTCTGTATTATGGGGACTAGAATCCATGGGCAGGTAGAATTGAGGTCTGGAGAGAAATACCGGATTTTCTGGATTTATTAGAATTAGACTTAAATATGAATAAAGTTCTAATTATATCGAGTAGAATTAAGTCGAGACATTGGGAGGAAACAATATTATATGTACATTTTAAAGAATAATGACACATTCAAATAAAGAAAAGAATAATCAACATTTTGTTTTGCTATATCCTTTTGAAATTAGTATTTTCACTACTACTTTATATAAGTTATAGTGTCAGATAGAAAAGTAGAGTTATTGA